TACAGTTGGAATATGGTTTCAGGGTAGGATACCTTATAATTTACCATAAAGGGCTTAGGATAATCATATTCCAACTTTCTTGCTTTTACCTTATGTGTCTAGGTCTACACGCTCATGGTTCATTAAGCAACCATTCGGGTAGTTCTCTAGATTAGGGTCCCCTTTTCGGAAATCGCAATGATATCAAAAGGACTCTACAAGGGATCCTAAATTAGAGAACTCCGCATTTCAAGTTCCAGGGTAAATTAACAGTTTCAGGGGTGTCTCGGACGTAGGGCTTGGAGCTTGGTTTAGGGTTTAGGGTTTAGGTTTAGGGGTAGTAAGGTTTAGGATTTAGGGTTTAGGGTTTAGGGCTTAGGGTTTAGGGTTTAAGGTTCAGGGTTTAGGGTTTAGGGTTTAAGGTTGAGGGTGGTCTGGGGTTTAAGGCCGAGTGTAAGTGGGCAACGAGACCAGGCCCGTAAGGCTCAAACTTCATGCCAGACAGCCAGGACTTACTAAGCCTAAACCCTAAACCCTACTACCCCCGAAACCCCTAAACCCGCAAAACACTTAAAACCCTAAACCACTAAACCTTTGAACCCCAAACCCCCAAACCCCTAAACCCTCTAAATCCCTGAAGCCTAAACCCCTAACGCCCTGCACCTTGAGCTTATATCTTGCCGTTGCTTGGCTCCTTCACCTTTCTGAATCTGTTGGAGAACCCCAAAAACTGTATGGCAATTCTTCAGGCTTCTATGTTCCTCCGACTACCGAAAGGAGGCCAACTCACCCGCTGGTTTGAGGTTGAAGGTTTGCAGCCCGGTGACCCCTCTTGCAGGTGACGCCGCCGGCTGTCGAAGGCCTCGAATGCTGAGCACAAGCTTCATTTCTACGGAATAAGGAGATACCTTCTCTACCGACTCAACACTCTCAACCCAACACCCCAAGTGCCAAAGCCCAAGCCATGCATCTACCGCTTGTAAGAACATCCTGGAACAGATTTCTGCTAGCCCCGGCAAGGTCGACAGGGCAAGAAAGCGCCGACCCCGAAAGGCCAAAGCAGGGATTTGAGTTGGAATTCAGGGTTTCTTGGTTTTTTGATTTCAGGTCGCCGTCTTGCCGCTTTCCTGATCGGCAAAAGTAACCTACACAAGATACCCCTGCAGTGGGTTCTTGACTGATCATATCCATAAAACCTGAACTCTAAACCCTCAACGATAAACCGCCATACTCATGAAATCCCAACCCCCAATCACAAAACATGAACTCTAATAGCCTAAACCAAAAGCCATGAATCCAAAAACCCCAAACCTCAACCGGCTACATCAACCCGACTTCAAACATCAACAGGATGCCTCGTTGTTCGAAGTCCGCTGAAGAGATTGGTCCTGGTCACAAAGTTCGGGCTAGGTCCGCAAGCTGTCAAAAAGATATGAGAGCTTTCTACTCGACAGGAAGGTTGTATCATCACGCATGCGCAGGGCGTTTCAGGAGGTAGGGTTCAGGGCTAAACGAAAATTCGACATAATTTTGGGTTTTGAGTCTGTACAGTACAGTTCGACACTTTTTCCAAGTTGCTGTACTGTCATCCAAGCCTTCGGGGGAATCTTTGGGATCAGAGGAGCTGAAGCCAGACAGTATACTGATTTTGCCGCTCTTGGCGCAAGTCGGATACATTAATTTTCCTTCACAACTGGCGGTTTCTAGCACTTGGGTCTTCCGCAACTGGAGCATTACCGCAGAAGCGCCAGTACGGGGTCCAAAACACCAAGAAACCATGCAACCTCAAAGGTTGCAGAAAACGCGCCGTGCCGCCAGCACAACTGGCGCAACACCCCAAAAAAACGCGTCCCGGGGAATCGCAACTGGCGCAACGGATGCGAAATCTCGCAAAATACATGCCTTCACAACTGGCGCACTGTTTCCAGCTACAGATGCATGCCAACTCCCCTGACTAGCCTTATTTGGCAACCGGGAATCGGGCCCTTTTGCAGTGGGGATGCGCTTGCCTCATCAACCACTACCGAGCATGAAGGTTCCTCAAACGGACGCCCGGTAGATACACGGGACTCCGTGAACCTGCAGCCCAAACTTTGCCATGCAAAGATCAGGGGGCTCAGGGGTTCGGGCAGCCTACGGGGAGCCTAGGGGTTAGTCGCGCACTCACTTGCAGGGACGCACACAACATGTCACGAACATGGTGCGTGTAAAACACATGTGTTAAAAATCTTTGAAATACAGATTCATGAAAAGCCTGTTGTAAAACGTGAAGCACGCAGGCGTTGTGCCAGTTGTGGTGGGTTAGAACACCACTACAAAATACCACTACAAAATAAAAAACAAAAGGGCATCACTGAGCAAAAGCACCCACCGCCGAGCATCTGGTGAGACTGCATTGCGCCAGCAGCGCATGCGGCCTACCTAGAATACCACTACAAAATGAAAACGAAAACGGAATCAAGGAGCAAAAGCAAGCACCACCGAGCATCTGGTGAGACTGCATTGCGCCAGCAATGCATGCGTCTCGCGAACACTTTTACTGCGCCAGCAGTGCGCCTCTCGAACGCACTTTGCGCCAGCAGTGCTTGCGCCACAGCTCGGCAGAGCCGGCCCCCACGAAAAAAAAAAACATGTCACAACTGGCGCACAATTTCGGGCCCCCGGCTGCCCCACCATCTCGCCGACACACCCTGAGCTTCCTCTTTTTATGCACGTTTCGGCCCTTCCGCGGGCCCACCACAGATGAAGCAACGTGCTCGAGTAGCGCCAAAAGCTACAAAATCAGTATACTGGAAACTGCCGCGGCCGAAATGCGAAGTAAAAATCCTCAAAAGCTCTCCTAATGGCACGAAGACCTGTACTGCTGCTTAGATCAAGGGCCCTTCTACTCAGGTTATATGGTAGGGATTTATACCCTCGAGGTCAGGTTCGGAGATTTTGAGAAGTTGGAGGCAGGGCGCAAGGCACTACCTTGACGATCATGGGATGTAGCAAGTAAGGTTGTAAGTATCCCATTTCGGGTTAGAAGTAGTTATAAGTATAATTTCCCTAAACCCTAAACCCTAAACCCTGCACCCTTAACCCTGAATCCTAAACCTAAACCCTGAATCCCAAATCCTACACCCTGAACTCTGAATCCTAAACCTAAAGCCAGAAAGCAGTAGTTACGTCCCATGATCCTTCAAGCAACCTCGAGATCGGTGGCCCCCCCGCTTACTGGCGGGATTAAGAGTCCACGCCACAGTCCCCAAGGTGCCTCAGAGTGTGCTTAAAGGATCATGGGACTTAGTAACTAGGGTTATTATTCGGGTAACTAAACTTATAACCCCAACTAGGGTACTTATAACCTTGCTTACTAAGTCCCATGACCCTCCAAGTGGTTGTGCTGAAGCTCGATTTTGCATGCAGACACGCACTGCACTGCGGCGGAAGCAGGATTGCTGGAGGCGGAAACAGGAGCCACAGCCGGGAGCACTGACCAAGACCTCTTCAGCTTTAACCGAAGAAACGCCATGGTGCCTCGTGCCTACACTCCTGACCCTCACCCAAAACCCTAAATCCTGCACCCTTAACCCTGAATCCTAAACCTAAACCCTGAATCCCAAATCCTACACCCTGAACTCTGAAGCCTAAACCTAAAGCCAGAAAGCAAAGTGCTTGGACCATCCTCGAGGCTTTCATCCATCTTTTGCTCCATCTGCTCCAAGCGAAGGTTAAACTCCTCGCCCAGGGTTGAGGGCTTGGGATTAGGAGTTTAGGGTTGAGGGTTTATAGGGTTTAGGGTCGAGGGTTGAGGGTTGAGGGTTTAGGGTTGAGGGTTGAGGGGGCTTGTGAGGTGACGGTTGAAGGGTCTCCAAGCTTAGGACTTTAGCAGCTTGGGGTTTGTTTGCGGTACAGAAAGTTGGAGGACATCATGCTTCTCCTACCCCTAAAGGAAAGTATAGGGACTCCCCTAACTAATCATCCTAAATCCATGTCTCAACTTTCGGGGGGGGGGGGGTTAAGTACTTAAGGTGAAGCTTTGGGTGTTGGTTAAGGCTTAGGGGTTAGGGTTTAGGGGTTAGGGGGACTTTGCGCAGGGTTTTGGGGCTCAAATTTAGAGCTTGGGGCCTGGAGCTCACGATGTTCGGGCCCTGGAGGGGAATGCTGGTGCGAGGTTTCGGGTACATGGCGTGTAAACACTTACTTAAAGGATCATGGGACGTAGTAACTAGGGTTATTATTCGGCTAACTAAACTTATAACCCCAAGGGGGTACTTATAACCTTACTTACTAAGTCCCATGATCCTCCAAGTAAGTCACTAGAGGAAAGAATGAGAGCGAGAGAGAAAAAGAAAAAGAAAGACAGAGATTGGGATTCAGGCTTGTATGTGCTTTCTGGAGGCCTTTGCCGTGATGAGTATTTGTGAGGCTGCATGCCTTGTCATCTTCAAAGCGATGCAGTTGCTAATGTATGTGGGCACACATCTGCTGAATCTCTCGCTTTCAAGGTTGACAACAAGGGCTTAGGGCTCGGGAAGCTGTTCAGAAATTCGCGGCTGAGGGCTTTAGGGTTTGAGGTGTAAGGTTGAGTATTTCGGGTGCCGCTTAGGACCTAAGGCGCTGAAGGGAAAAGGCCATCATGGTGGCGGATTTCAGCATCTACCACCACCTTGCCAAAAATTGCCGCTGCACGTTTGAAGTCGACGGTCTACTACACCTTCAACCCGAAGGACAAAACCAGTAAGGACTCACACAGGAAACATTCCCAAGCAGTTTGACTTCAAGTCCAAATCCTCGCAGCTTTACACCCTAAGCCGTTGAAAGTGAAAGGTAGTTCGAACCCAAACCGTACACCCTGAAACCTGGGCACCTCGAAGCCCGCGAAAGAACGGAACCTCCTACTTAAAGGATCATGGGACTTAGTAACTAGGGTTATTAGGGTAAACTATACCTATAACCCCAAGTAGGGTACTTATAACCTTACCTACTAAGTCCCATGACCCTCCAAGTATGGCTTAGCCTTTCCGGATCTAGATACATCAGGAGCCCCCTGGCAAACTCGGCGCCTCCGCGAAGTGCACGAAGCGCCAGTCCAAATGCCTGGGCTTCAAGGGCAGATCCCTGACTGTGGGATGTTGGTTGGAAGGCTTAATCCCTAAACCCTAAACCCTAAACCCTAAACCGTTTAGGGTTTTGGGGGGCGGGCTGAAGCACGACATGGAACTTCGCATGCTCCATCCTCACCCCCCGAGCCTCCTTCGCGATCTTGAGCTCCTGTGACTACGATTGCCACCCTTAATGCCCAAGCCCCAGCCGAAACCTTCGACAAGCCCGCCACATTGAACCCTGAACCCTGTATAGGAAACTCCAGAAAGTTGGAATATGGTTTCATGGTAGGATACCTTATAATTTACTCTAGAAGGGTTAGGATAATCATATTCCAGCTTTCTAGCTTTTACCTTAGGGCTTCAGCTTTAGATCCGAAACCCAACTCCAAGCCCGGGAAAAGAGCTGAGCCATGCCGCTTCTGTTGGTCGGCCATCGCAGCCTCCCTGGCCTGAACACAGCACGGTTTAGGGTTTAGGGTTTAGGGGTTTAGGGTTTAGGGGTTTAGGGTTTAGGGTTTAGGGTTTAAGTGGTGCACGGAAACCGTAGTCTGTTTTGCTTCTTCAAGGGTTCTAGAAGGGTTCTACGCTGGTTCTTTAGGTGAGGTCTGGGGATTTTCGGTGTTTAGGGGCTTAGGGTCCGGGGCTTCTGAGTTCACGGCTTTTGGGGTTTACGGCTTGCGCTCAGGGCTTAAAGTGTCGGTTCGCTTCGGGCCCTGAAGGGTACCCTCATAGACTCCCTGTCGAGCCCGTTTAGGAAACCCAGGCTTGGGTTTTACGGTTTAGGGTTTAGGATTTGGGTTTAGGGTTTAGGGTTTAGGGGTTAGGGTTAAGGGTTTAGGATTTGGGGTTTAGGATTTGGGTTTAAGGTTTAGGGTTTACAGGTGAGGGTTTTAGGATTTAGGGTTTAAGATTTGGGTTGGGGCCTAAGGGCTCAGGGCTTTAGGCTTTACAGCTTGGGGGTTTAGAGATTTTGGGTTTCGATGTGGGTAACTGGAACTGTTGGGTCTTGTGATGGCATCTGTTTCAGCACAACGCACAGCCCATCATCCTGAGCCTGGAAAAAACCCAAACCCCAAATAATCTAAGGGTAGCAGGAGGGACCCTTAATAAGGACCCCTAGGTATATACCCTTAATATAGCTATTGTATACCCATTATATAGCCTATTATAGGGTAGGGGTCCCCATTAAGGGTCCCTCCTTTTCCCCTTTGAAATAAGTTCTGGGTTGCAAAGCACAGCCTAGCTCCAAAGAAGATGTGCTGCCCCTTGAAAGGCAGATGCTAGAAGCACTAAACCCCACAACTTCCTCGAACCAAGTGACTGTGTGGATGCGTGTCGCTTAGGCCTTACCCTAAACGGTATAGAGTTCAAAGATCCCGGGCCGGGATCTGAAACCCTCAGCCGGAAAGCCCAATAACACAAAGAAGAAGAAGAAGAAAGCAAAAACAAAAACCAAAAAAAACATTGATTCCTGCCTCACGTTCCATCTTGATGGCCACGACCACGTCTTGCAGGCTTGGATGTTCGGGCATAACCTCGCTTTGGAAACTTGTGACTAGGACTTGAATCGTAAAGGGTCAATGGCCACGGTTCGCTCCGACTTCTGCACGACTACTGCTGTGCAGATGCCCGACTTTTTCTGGTGGGGGCTCCCTAGACCCTAAACTTCGAAACCATGAGGCCCAAAACCTAGACAAGCTGGGCACAATCAAGGATCATCGTCCTATCGCTGCTGTCTATAGACGGGCTGTGTGGATGGATGGATGAATGGATGGATGGATGGATGGAAGGACGGACGGAGGGATGGGTGGATGGACGGACGAGTGGATGGATGGGCCATCTGCAGCTATGCAGCTCACCAACCCCAACACTTTTAAATTCTTGTAAGGCACAAGAATGTGTACCGGAACGTCCTCCAATACTCGGAAATCTGTTTCGAAGATGCCTGCCACTCTGCTAAGTGTGTTAAACGCGCAATACCACGCAAAAAAAATGCTCCTAGGAATATTGATAGTATTACGAGCATTGCAGATATCATTGCTACAGTGACCTTATTGCATGACTTTGCGATATTACTACTTTGCTATGTATGTATGTATGTATGTATGTATGTATGTATGTATGTATGTGTGTATATATATATATACATATACATATATAGATATATATATATATATATATATATATATATATATATTGCTATGTTGCGATTACAATTTTACGATATAGCTATATGACTGGATACGAGATGACGAAATGACTATTTTACCATGTTCTCATAATACTAAGTTGGTATATTGCTATGATTGCTGGGTGCCTGCAAGACGACCTCACGGTTCCGAACTTTGATTCCACTTTGCAAAGGCTCGGGCTTAGACCAACAAGAGATCAAAAAATTCAAACAATGTGGACTGCTTCTCAGCCACCCTAAGTCCAAACCATTCAGTTCTTCCATCTTCTTCACTACCCCCCAGAATTGCGGCCAAAAGGCCTTAGCACCAGCCGTTTTGGAGAAAAGATGCTCTATAAAACAACTCTCGGCTGGGAATCCCGCATATTCGTGTCGCCGCATCACTGCCGCCATGGCTGTTGGTGGCTGGTCGCTGGTGTGACGACGCTTTCGAAACCCACCGAGCCGTGACCCCGACATACGTTCGAACATCGGTGGAAATCCTAGGACAGTGCATGCAGGGAGTATCCGTCTTCCATCCAGGCAGGATAACCCAATGGTGTTTAAGGCAACTGCAAGGAATGCTTCCGACTTAGGAGGCAATCTTAGAAAGTGGCCCGCCAGGCTTCATGATCCAGAGGGGGCTCTGCGTCGTCTGGGCCAGAATAGGCGGACCGAGAGAACTTGCAGCTTTCCACGCTCTCCCGGACCTTGAATCCTGGGGCTCAACATCCTATGAGGGCTTGGTAGTAATATATAAAAAGTATATGATATATAATATATAATATAAAATATAGTAAAAAATATAGTACGTATAATATATTATATATAATATATTATATATGATGTGGAATATACACCCAAGCCCAACAAAGCCCTAAGTCCCTCCACCCCACGTTCTGAGTCCAAAACACTGAGGGCCTGAAAATTTCCTGAAACCTAAGCCCTTCAAGAGCTCCCGGGTTTAGGGCTCAGTGTTTAGGGTTTAGGGTTTGGGGTTTAGGGCTTAGTGTTTAGGGTTTAGGGCTTAGGGTTTAGGGCTCAGTGTTTAGGGTTTAGGGCTTAGGGTTTAGGGCTTAGTGTTTAGGGTTTAGGGTTTGGGGTTTAGGGCTTAGTGTTTAGGGTTTAGGGCTTAGGGTTTAGGGCTTAGTGTTTAGGGTTTAGGGCTTAGGGTTTAGGGCTTAGTGTTTAGGGTTTAGGGTTTGGGGTTTAGGGCTTAGTGTTTAGGGTTTAGGGTTTGGGGTTTAGGGCTTAGTGTTTAGGGTTTAGGGCTTAGGGTTTAGGGCTCAGTGTTTAGGGTTTAGGGCTTAGGGTTTAGGGCTTAGTGTTTAGGGTTTAGGGTTTGGGGTTTAGGGCTTAGTGTTTAGGGTTTAGGGTTTTTAGGGCTCAGTGTTTAGGGTTTAGGGCTTAGGGTTTAGGGCTGTTTAGGGTTTAGGGCTTAGTGTTTTTAGGGCTTAGTGGGCTTTTAGGGTTTAGGGCTTAGGGCTTAGGGCTCAGTGTTTAGGGTTTAGGGCTTAGGGTTTAGGGCTTAGTGTTTAGGGTTTAGGGCTTGGGGTTTAGGGCTTAGGGTTTAGGGTTTAGGGCTTGGGGTTTAGGGCTTAGGGTTTAGGGCTTAGTGTTTAGGGTTTAGGGTTTGGGGTTTAGGGCTCAGTGTTTAGGGTTTAGGGCTTAGGGTTTAGGGCTCAGTGTTTAGGGTTTAGGGCTTAGGGTTTAGGGCTCAGTGTTTAGGGTTTAGGGCTTAGGGTTTAGGGCTCAGTGTTTAGGGTTTAGGGCTTAGGGTTTAGGGCTTAGTGTTTAGGGTTTAGGGCTTGGGGTTTAGGGCTTAGGGTTTAGGGTTTAGGGCTTAGGGTTTAGGGCTTAGTGTTTAGGGTTTAAGGTTTGGGGTTTAGGGTTTAGGGTTTAGGGTTTAGGGCTTAGGGTTTAGGGCTTAGTGTTTAGGGTTTAGGGTTTGGGGTTTAGGGTTTAGGGTTTAGGGTTGAAGCTTCTAGGAGATTCTAGGGTGTACTATAGTACGAGCATATACGGTCTTGACATTTGGGGAGAAGGTGTTTGGGTTCAGGCTTAGGGCTATCTAGGAATGATGATGTGAAGTTGGTTTAAGGCTTAAGCATTTTGGGGTCATAGCATTTAGGGTCTAGGGTTTGGTGGTTTCGTTCTCTTGGTTTTGCCCAACAAATACCAGTCCGGACTTGGCAGAATTGCTTGCTCCTGACTGAACTCTAGGATTCCAAAAAGCCCACTGAAGCCAATCGTGCCACATGCAGGAAGGAGAGAAAGAGAGAGAGAGAGAGAGAGAGAGAGAAAGAGAAAGAGATATATACATATATACATATACATATATATATATATATATCCTTTATGCAAACATATATAGGAAAAGAGTTGCACAGATGGCTTGCCAGGTGTACCCGTAAGAGACTAGCCCGCTCCAAAAAGGCTTCAACTTGTACTATTCCTCCTGTTAATGGACAAAATCCTGCATGACCCATAAGGGTACCTTTACGGGGTTCCTTTAAGGGATCTATAGGGTTTTTAGGGTTTAGGGTTTACGGAAATTATAAATCCTGCATGACCCATAATAAGGAGTGTACCATAGTTCCCATAGTTTAGAGTCCTCAGGATCATGCAGGATTTTGTCCATCAACAGTCTCTCCCACTGCCCCGCTCTGCAGCGCCTAACGCTGTCAGGGACTGGTTGATAGCGCATCCTGCGGCTCTTTGCTTACCTTTGGTGAGTAGGGAATGGAAGAATGGTAGTAATAGTAGTTATAATTGCACCCCATTCCTCCATTCCCTACTAACCAAAGGTAAGCTTGTCCAGTTGGGAGCCCTACCCTATGCGATTGTTGAAAAACAATTGCATCACCCTCCCAGCGAACCCTAGTGCACCCCCTCAACTCACCCTCCCCCTCAGATGCTTTGAAGCCCTGTAGTCCCTGCACCTTCAGCCCACCTCAAATGCCTACACCTTCAAAGCTCAAACTCCAAACCCCCGATCCCTCTGCATTCCCCAAGCGCCACGCCCCGAAACGCTGAACCCAGAAGCCCAAAACCTTGCGCCCCGATCCCTGAACCATGGAGCCAAAAAAGCTCATCTGATCATCACGCCAGAAGCTAAAACCGCTCGCAAACAAGCTTTTCGGCTGTTGATTCTACTTTTTCTGCTGTTCCGACTACTACCACGACGCCTGCTATTGCTGGCACTCTTGCCTCCGTTCTGCCACACCTTTCTGCCACACCTTCTGTTTCGATTAGGATATTCTGCTTGCTGTGAGGCGAAGCCTTCATGCCCCAATGCTAAACCGCCATGCTAAGCCCGAAAACCTAGAAGACGTGCAGCCTCAAATGCGCAACCCCAGATGCTGAAGCAATAAAGCCTCGAAGCACAACACCCCTGGCCTTATGATGGGTCCCACCCTAAACCCTAAACCCGAAGCCCTGAACCCTGAGTTGTGGGGATCCCAAACGCTACCGAGGTCTTGCGTGCACATCGGGGCCACGAAAAAAGCAAAGCGGCGCAGCAGCCTGAAGAAAGCCGAAACATGAACCTTATCCTTAAAGGGTTCGGTTTAGGAATTTTTAAGGTTTGAGAGTGTCGGGTTTAGGGTGAACAGTTGCAAGATAGAAGCTCTCTTTGTGCATTTAAAAAGTCTTCTGGTTGTCCTTCGCGGAGCCTAAGGCCGTCAGCGCCACTCCGAGCGATGCCTCGGCAGCAGCGGAGTTAGCCAATACGGTGCAAGTACAGGGTCTCGCAGAGTTGCGAAGGGGTTCTTTATGGTTAGGGTTTAGGGGCTCAAGGCTCAGGAGTTTAGGGATTGGGCTTCCTTGGGTTTGGGCTTAGAAGGCTCACTGCTTTCTAAGAGTTCCAGAACGAGTTGAATGCTTGAAGGTGGGACTTCGGCAGGCTTCGGAAGTGCTTCGGTTGATGATATAAATCCTGCATGACCCTAAGGACCCTAAGCTATGAGAATTATGGTATATTCCTTATTATGGGTCATGCAGGATTTATATCATCAACCGTTAGAATGCTGATGTTAAAGCGCACGTCACACTGAAACCTGCACTGGTCATCTTGATGGGATGGCAGCTGACAATAGACGCAGGAAACACAATACTGGAGAACCATATTGGCAAACAAAGCAATACAAGTAGCAGAAGCAGACATCGATTTCGTGTTCGTCGTCGTCGCAGTAGTAGTAGGAGTAGTAGGAGTAGTAGTAGTAGTAGTAGTAGCAGCAGCAGCAACAGTAGTATGTAGCAGTGGCAGCGGAAGCTGGGCGTCCTGCGCTCGGAGCCGGCCAGATCCACGAGATTTACCCGGGAGCTCAGCGACTGGCGTCCGGCGAAAAGAGGATTTTTCGAGCTCTTGGGCTTATAACCCATGTAAAGGGAGCTGTAGGGTTTCCTTTAAGGGTTTAGGGTTTAGGATTGAGGATTTCGAGTGCTAGGAGTGTACGTAATTTGCGGTTTCAGGTGTTGGTCTTGGGTATTGCCTGTAGCCGAAAAGACCTGCCTATTTGAGGAATGATATGTAGAAACCATAATAAGGAACCCTATAAAGGCAGGTCGTTTCGGCTACAGATGGGGTTAGGGCCCAGAGACTCCATTATCCCTGAATTAAGGAATATACCTTAAATTATATTAGGATCCCTGATATGATTTAAGGAATATTCATTTATTAAGGGATATTGAAGTCCCCTAAACCCTAAACCCTATAGATCCCTTTTAGGAACCCTTAAAAGAACTCCTACAGATCCCTTAAAAGGAGTCTCTGGTTTTTTGGAGTGCGGAGCTTGGGATTCACAATTTCAGGGTGCGGCGGATGGGACCCTGACACGACTGTGAAGAGCCCTGGACGGGCAGCTGCTGGTTTAGGGTTTAGGGTTTAGGGGTTGAGGGTTTTAGGGGTTTAGGGTTTAGGGGTTTAGGGTATGGGGGTTAGGGTTTTTGAGGGCTTAGGGTTTTGAGGGTTTAGGGTTTAGGGGTTAAGGGGTTTAGGGTTTAGGGTTTTGAGGGTTTAGGGATGAGTTGTGCTATGATCTGGCAGCTGTGAACCATGAATTCTGAACTGCGCGTTCAACTCAAGCTGTATGGGGAAAGGTGATGCATACTTTACAAAATAAATCGGAGAGCCAACTGATCCAAAGTACCACCGGAAGCCGCAAGATGAAAAACCGAGAAAGTGGAACACTCAGAACACGCAAAAAAATGGAAACTGAGGCTTCGAAGAGAGAAAAAACAAAACGTTAAAGCATGTTAAGGCCCTAAAGCCTCAAACCCTGACTCTTGGAACACCGAGCTCTGAAAGACCCGCAGAATTTGAAACGCCTCAAAACTTCTTAGTAACTAGGGTTATTATTAGGGTAACTATATGTATAGCCCCAATTAGGGTACTTACAAGCTTACGTACTAAG